CCCCATGCTGCTTACCCCTCTCATCTCTGCTAACCCAGGACAAGACCAGCAGATTCCAAGAGGCAGCAGAAACATGCATATCTTTGTTCAGAAAGTGTGGGCCTGATAAAGCCAGGCAGCTCCACCGGGCCAGGGCTGCGGGGGGAGGTGGTGTGCAGCCTGTGCCTACATTATTTATGAGTGACTGTAAAGGCAGTACCGTAGCTATGCGGCTGGTGTAGGAATCCACTGGAGAGTTTGTGGCTTCCTGGTAAATGTCAGGCAAGGCTTATTGGACATGACATTTAGAAAATTACCACTTGCAGTCTAGGATCTCCTTTCTTAAATACTTTAATGAGAATTAAACCAATATTATGGCATAAATAACACTCTCCACCTCCCTTTGCAGTCTGGCTGTATCTGTGTCTCCATTTGGGGCATAGAGCTGTTGCGCTCCCTGTCAGATTTGCCTCCAAGGGCCTAGGATTCCCACAGTTGTGTGGTCCAACCAGATGGGCCATGATGTAGGAAGCACTGGGGTTGGAGTCAGAAGACCTGGGTTTGAATTCTGGTTCTGTGACTTATTAGTGTGACCTTGGGCAAATCATTTCCCTTTTCTGTACCTCAGTTTCCTCACCTGTAAAAATGAGGGGGTTGAATTAGGTGACTTCTGTGACCTCTATTAGTTTCAAATTCTAAGACCCACAGTAGCTGGGAGAAAGGAAATGGACCTCTTCCTAGGTGTTAGAGGGGTTTTCCCCCCATCTATTATTTTTGTTGTTAACTACTATTATTTTTCAAAGTTTCAATGGTACCCTTTAAAAACATGAGGGAAGGAAAACATTTTGAACTCAAAATATTATAAAAAATGAATGTTAAAAATTGTCTTTACATGTAATTGGAAAAAATAAAATACTACTAAAAAACCAGAACAAATACTGCAGTTATTTCCTCACATACCCCTGCCCCATGTTGAACCTTTCCATGTAACAAAAGCAACAAAAAAAGACAATGAAACAAAACCTATTGACAAAATGACTGCGTCTGATATTGGATACAACATTCTACTTTCTTTTGGTCTCTTATTTATCATATTTTGGTATTTTGTAGACCATGCTACCTGGGGTAGTGGAAAGACCACTACACTGGGGGTCCCAGTCTCAGAATGTCAGAGCTGGAAGGGGTTCAGCGGTTCTTGTCCAGCCTCCTTCCTGAAGCAGGATATCCCCCCTTACAAATGCTCATCCAGCCTCTGCTGAGTCAATCCATTCTCTTTTGGAAATGCTCCAATTGATAGTTTTTCTTCTACATCAGGAGTAGCTAATGGATCGAGCACCAGGCCTCAAGTCAGGAAAATTGGAATTCAAGTCCACTCACACTTACTAGCTGTGTGACCCTTGGCAAGTCACTTAACCCTGTTTGCCTCAATTTCCTCATCTGTAAAATGAGCTGGAGAAGGAAATGGCAAACCTCTCCATTATCTTTGCCAACAAAACCCTGGATAGGATCAAGAAGAGTTGGACACAACTGAACAACAACAGAAACAACAATTTCTACATCAAGCCCAAATCTGCCTCTGCAACTTCTACCTCTCTTCCTAGTTCTGCCCTTTGAAGTCAAGCAGACCAAGTATAATCCCTTGTTTAGATGACAGCTCTTAGGATCACAGGATCATAGATTTAGAGCTGGGAGGGACCTCCAGTGCCATCTTGGCCAACCCCTTCATCTTACAGCGGAGGAGAGTGGGGCTCAGGGATGTTAGATGACTCCCCCAAAGTCACATAGGTGGGAACCATCAGACCCAAGATGCAAACCCATTTCTTGACTCTAGAACCAGTGCTCCTTCCACTGTTCCATGTCTCCTCTTCCTCCAGAAAGTAGAAGGCAGGGATCATGTCTCCATTCTGAGTCTATTTTTCTGGGCTAACTGTTCTCACATCTGTCAGTGATCTTTGACTTTACAGATTTACACCAGTCCTTTCATATAGGCTAGGTATATCCTTGTCTCCAGTTGCCTACCATCCTCATCTTCCACATCCTCTGGTTCTGTGAAGTCTTGGCGCTATCATTGTGTCCCCTAGGCTATTTACCCTTGTCTTTCATTTTTGTTTGACTAGAACATAAAGCTGTGATTTGAATAAAATAGTGTATGGTAAGGCCTCTTCTCCAGCCCTCTTCTGTGGCTGTCTTGTGGAGGTGGCTCCAGGCTCTTGAAAGTTCTGCCACTGGAGGAGAGGCTCCAGCAGGTCTTACCAAGCCAGAAACATCCTTCACAGGCCGGGTCACAGATTTGATGTCTGAGGTTCATCACTAGAAGGCTGGCTGCTGGGTGGATTTTTTTCATGGTGACCCATGAAACCAGGTTCCACAGCAAGGATTCTTAACCTTTTTTTGCATTGTAGACCCCTTTGGTAGTCTGGTGAAGCCTAGAGACCCTTTCCTACAGTAATGTTTTTAAATGAGTCAAATAAAATATATAGGATTGCAAAAGAAATTACTTAAATTGAGATATAGTTATAAAAATTGTTTTTAAAAAAGGCAAGTTCATGAACCCCCAGGTTAAGAGCACCTAAGTCATTGGAGAGGTTGAGATTTGCCTAGTGGAGGGGAATGGAGGTAGCCATGAAGGATGAAGTCATGGATCTTGGAGTAGTCTAGATTGAGTGGTCCTGTACGTTAGAGCATTGAGTGCTGAGTACTTGGAATATTCCAGACAAAGTGCTAAGAGAGGGGGCAGCTGGGTGGCGAAGTGCATAGAGCACCGGTCCTGGATTCAGGAGAACCTGAGTTCAAATCTGGCCTCAGACACCTAACACTTACTAACTGTGTGACGCTGGGTAAGTCACTTAACCCCCATTGCCCAACCAAAAAAAAAAAAATTTAAACAAAGTGCTAAGAGGAACTCAAGGAGGGGAGAGATCATTTCCAAATGGAAAGGCATCAGGAGAAGGTGACCCTCAAGCTGGACTTGGATGGAAAGTGAAGAATTCCGCAGCTGGTATTGGTCTGAACATATATTGAATCAGATAAAAAGCCTGTGGGTGACATTGTTCATGAAACCCAGGCCAGAGGCAGGCAGTTGGCATCCATACAGAGTTGGAAAAAGAAGAGGTTGAAGCTGCTGTTGACCCTGCATGAGCTATAGCTGCCCAGTTCCTGCACACACTGTTCCTTGATGAACTTCTGCCAATAGGGTCCCAGTTTACAGTTTGAGGATTATAAGCAGCTTCCTGCCAGGGCTGGCTGGTGCCTACGAATGCCACATATCATCTTACTGCTCACAAGCCCTTCCCTGGCAGCCATCCCTGTCAGAGAAGGCCAACCCTGCATTCCAGGGTGTCCGAGTGTCCTTTGCCAGGCAGAGTTGTGAGTTCTGCTTTGTTTCCTCTTAATCCCCGAGCTGTTGAAATTTAGGATACTTGCTGGAGCCGCCTTATGACTTAGGACTTACTTAGAGTCATAGCAAGTTAGAACAGGAAGAGATCTTAGAACATTGACTAGGAGAGCTGGAAGGGACTTTGGGGATCACCTAGTCTGAACCCTCATTTTACAGATGAGGAAACTGTTGGGGGAGGGGAAGAAGTTACTTGTTAAAGGTCACACAGCTTATAAATGGCACCACCAAGACTTGAACCCAGGTCTCCTGATGTCAGTGTTCTTTCCATTGTACCATGCTTCTTAGTCTCTGATTCCTTTGGGAAGAAGTATTTGATGGGGGTGGAGGGATAAAGAATTCACATAGAAACTAATATTATCAGAAAACCTCTCTCTCTTTCTCTCTCTCTGTATATACACAGATACATTTCTTTTTTCTTTCTCCCCAAACTCCTTTTATTACTTAAGGGAAGATATCCTCAACATTTGTTGTTTTGAGGCATTAAATATGTTTCACAAGGTAATTAAGGAGATTAATGCTAATTATAATCGGTGTCCATTCAAGAATGTCAAACCTATTTAAGTGTGTTTTTCGTAATGGTTGTTAATTAGTGGATTGTGGGAGGCTTACACACACACATACACACACACACACGGAGTAAAATGGTATTGGTGGGGCAGGTCTGGCTTCTCTGTATAGTCGATAGGGATAGGAGAGGAGTTATCAGCGGGTAATTTAACTTGAATAGTTAAAAAACAGCAACAACAACAAAAAAAATCCTGTAGCAATCACATGCTGTTTTATAGTGTATATAGAATGTTCTCATAATTTGCCTCATATGACAAAACAAAAACCAACGTTTGAGTCACAGCCCTGCCACTGATCAGCTGTGTCACGTTATGTCCCTACTTCCCTAGGCCTCTGTTTCCACATCCATAAAATGAGGAGTTTGGACTAGCTTATCTCAGAGCTCCCGTCAAGCTTGTACATTGTATGATGTAAAAGAGTATGAAAATATTATCCATTTTACAAATGAGGGGGCTAAGCTAAGAGAGATTAAGATTCTATGCATTGCCTAAAGTCACACTGATATTAAATGGCACAGCTGGGACTCTAACCCAAGCCTTCCAAGTCCAAATTCAGTGCTGTTTCCCATTGTACCTGAGGAATTTGGGGGAGGGTAGAACTGGTGGTATTTTTTCCTAATTGTGTATGCCTCTCATTTTCCCTTCCTTCTCCTCTCCCCTCTTCTCCCCACCCTTTCCTTCTCTCTTCTCAACACCTTTTACTTCTCTTTTCTACCTTCTGCTCTTCTCTTCTCTCTACCTTCTTATCCATCCTTCTCTCTACCCTCTCCTCCTTTTTTCCCCCTTTCTCTTCTCTCCTTCTATCTCTCTCTCATCTCTCGCTTTTCTTTCTCATTATCTTTTCCTCTGTCTTGTCTTTATCTCTCTCCCCTCTTTCCTGTCTCCCTCCTTCTCCTCTTCTTGCTCTCTCCCTTCTTCTCCCTCCCTTTTTCTCCCTCCTCTTTCCTCTTGTCTTTCTTTGTCCTTCCCTCCTCCTCCCTTTCCTTTCTCCTCTCCTCCCCTCCCCCTTCTCTTCTCCTCTATCCTCCTCTCTTTGGGTGTTGCTTTCCTTTCTACAGTTTTTTAAAAAGCAGAAACGGTTAATCCCCGAGAGGACGGTCTGGAAGTACTTTGTGCAGTTGTGCAGCGCCGTGGAGCACATGCACTCCCGCAGGGTGATGCACAGAGGTAACATTAATCCGCTCTCTCTTTTCACTGAATAATAATATAATGTTCCAATTAGTAAGTGGCTACATTCAAAAACAATTATGCTGATGTGCAGCCAACGCATGTTTGGAGAGACGGCGGCACTGGCGAGATGGATTTCTCCTGGTGGTTTTTTTTGTTTTGTTTTGTTTTTTTGCCTCCTTGTTAAAGGAGTCGGTCCAGAGTGAGGGGAGCATTATGAAGAAGAGATGCTTTGTATTCCAGACACTGATTTTAAGTCAAGTGTCAAACCTGCCATTAGCAGAGTGTCAGAAGTGCAAAGCTGGAGTTTGAGGGATGCAGTGAACTCTACAACATCTCCTTCATCGCGTTGACTGTGATGTGGTGATGGATGAGTTGGTGGGAGTTTCTTGGTTCCCCTATAGCGTACACTCACATGCTAGACATTTCCCCCAGTTTGCTGGCCTTACTGAATTCTTTAGTATTATGGAATGTTACAACTGGAAAGGACCTTAGGTCTCAGGAGGTTCTGTAGAGTATAGACAGTTAGAGCAAGAAGAAACCTTAGAACCTAAAGTGTTAGAACATATAAGGTGATCGGCCTCGGTCTCTAGAAGACTCCTCAGAGGCCATTCGGTGGCCCCTCCCCCCACTTAACAAATGAGTAAGCTAAGACCAGGGAGGTTAAGGTCATACAGGTTGTAGACATGGGATTTGAACCCATGTTTCTCTGACTCCAGAGCCAGTGCTACATAGAACCTTACACCGTGTAGCCCAACCTATTATTCTACAGAAGAGGAAACCGAGACTTAGCAAAGTAAAGTTACTAGCCCTGGGTCATATAGTGAGTTAGTGGCATGGCCTCTCTGCCCAAGGCTTTCTCTTTCGCCCTGCTGCCTTCTCTTGCTGTAGGTGCTCTGTGGCTTGTCTAGACTGTGGCAGGGGTGTTGTACGTGTACATGTTTGTTAAGATTGAGCGTTAAGACTGCACAATGCCTCTTGAGTTTGACCTCTAGCCTTCTTTTCCTCCCAGACATAAAACCTGCCAACGTGTTTATAACAGCCACAGGTGTAGTGAAGCTGGGGGACCTTGGACTGGGCCGCTTCTTCAGCTCCAAGACCACGGCAGCACATTCCTTAGGTAAGTCTCTACCTCCCAGAGGCCTCAGCAAGATTGGGAATTAGTCGGTATTGCCACTGTGTTTTCTTTTATTTAAAAGCTAGTACTAGTAAGCCTTTCTTTAAGAAAGCCTCCCCTCCCCTCCTCTGCTCTCCTCTCTTCTTCTTCTTCTTCTTCCTCTTCTTCTTCTTCTTCTTCTCCTTCTTCTTCGCCTCCTCCTCCTCCTCCTCTTCTCCTCTCTCTCTGTCTCTCTCCCTCACTCTGTCTTTATACACACACACACACACACACACACACACACACACACACCAGTATATAAATTCTGAATATAAAAACCAGAGAAATTAGGAGATGCTTGCTAACCTTAAAGTTTTCTTCATTTTAGGAAAAGATTCACTCCAGTACAGGTATACCTCACGGTGGTATTTACCAAGAACCATATTATGCCCTTCATAAGTTATTCATTTGCAAGATTCTTCTTTTGGGACTAAATATCCTTGTAAATATTTCTTTACTTCATAGTGTATTTTCTCAGAAGCAACAGATGTTATAAGATGGAGTAGGTATATTTTTAACATAAAATAGGATTTGACTTACAGGAATTCAGTTGAGGGAACTGGGTGGTGCAGTGGATAGACTGGCAGGCCTGGAGTCAGGAAGAGCTGAATTCAAATCTGGCCTCAGACCTTACTCGCTGTTTGATCCTCGGCAAGTCACTTAACTCTGTTTGCCTCAGTTTCCTCATCTGTAAGATAAGCTAGAGAAGGAAATGACAAAACCACTCCAAAATCTTTGCCAAGAAAACCCCAAATGGGGTCATGAAGAGTCAGGCATGACTGAAATGACTGAACAATTCAATTTGTATGCAACTTTGGGGGAGATAATTTCCTTTGAAAAATTAGTTGGAATTGCATTGGAATCTTAGACTTCAGCAAGGTTTTGTCACTTAAATACCAAAGACCAGAGATGCCTGATAGGACCCAATATGAAGACATCTCTGCTTCAGTTTGTTTTGGAGTAGGTAATACAAGGAAGCCAGAGAACTCTGTGCTTTCCCCTGGTGCTTGTTTAAAACTCTTCTGTCAACTTCTCTGGACTCTTGAGCAGCTGATGCAGGGGCTTGGCCTTTCTTCAGGTTTCGGTAAAAGTCAAATGTGCTTGATGCTTGCTCCTACTGGGCCTGGTAAGCTCATAGAATCACAAAATGTTAGAGCTGGAAGAACTTGTGAACACAGAACATAGACTGTTAGAGCCGGAATAGACCTTGGACATGATGTATTCCAATACTCCCATTTTATAGATGAGAAAACTTAAGGCCCAGAGAGGGGAAGTGACTTGTCCATTGTAGCCAAGTGGGAACCAGAAATACAAGGCAGTGTTATTTTCACTGTTACTTGTATTAAAATTTTCACCAAAATGTTACTGGGGAAAGGAAAGGAGAATCATGAATTACAGCAAAGTTTTTCCCTTCCTCTCTCTCTCTCTCTCTCCCCCTCTCCCCCCAACCTCTTAAAAATGGTTTTGGGCCCAATTCATTTCTGTCTCACCCCAAACTTACAAGCTGGTCTGTCTCTCATGTTCCGACACCTTTGTGCAAGTGACACACATTGAGTGTAAACAGAATGATAATATGGGAGCGTCTTTTGGTTCACGCGAAGGAGCTCTCTGAAAAATATGATTTCTTCATGTAAACTGTTAGTGTGCATTATTCATATAGCTCCAGATGGCTCTGAGACTTGTAGCGGATAGCATATGATTTGGTGAAATTTATTAATTCTGGTGATCAAACAGTGGTAGCTGTTTAAAGTGTTTAAAAAAAAAAAACAACTGTGTCATACCCCTCTGATTCAGAAGGTTTTGAATACTAGGAAGCTGGCTTTGCTCTCAGTCACTACTGGGTTGATTATTATTTCATTCAGAAATGATACTAGCCTTGACTGTTATGGCTTAAGTAATACTGGGCTATTCCAGTTTTGGGGGCCTCAGGAGATAATGTTTGTTTCACCCAATTTATCCCTTTTTCTTCTTCCTTTTATATTTGTGGTGAAATCTTAAGTGTAAATCAAATTCCCTTTGCTTTTCTGATATTTAAGTAGAGGCTCAAAGAATCTTAAGAGATATTAGAACATAAAGTTTGACAGTTGGAAGGAACATTGGAATACAGAATGTTAGAGCTGGAAGGGACCTTAGAGAATATCATATTAGAAATGGAAAGGATCTTAGAACATGGTGTGTAAGGTTTTGATTTGGCATCAGGACCTCGGTTCAAATCCTAGACCTGGTTCTGCTATTCCCTAATATTTGGTGAGTTGTCTAACCACTCTGAGCCTCAGTTTCCTTATCCATAAAATGAGGATGTTGGATTAGATTCCAAATCATCTGATTCTCTGAATATTGAAATATAATGTGGAGCTGCTGAGGACTTTAGAACAGAATATTAAAGCCCTCTATTTGGATATTCATAGCCTTTCTTCTGGACTATTACATTAGCCTCCTAATTGGTCTCCCTGTGTTCACTTCAATCCATCCCACACAGCTGCCAAAATGATATTCTTAAAATGTAGGTCCGAGATGTCTGCCTTCTGCTCAAGAAGCTTCAGTGGGTCCCCATTACCTTTAGGATAAAACCCAAACTCCCCTGGTATTTAAAACCTCTCCCATTCTGGCTCCAGCCTAACTTGCTAGACTGATAACAGATTAATCCCCCTTCACACAATCCGTGCTCTAGCCAAACTGGCTACTTTGCTATTCTTCCTATGTGATGTTTCATCTTCCTCCATCCTCCTCCATGCCTTTGCACAGGCTGTTGGTCATCCATGCCTAGAATGTATTCCTTTCTCATTTTTGCCTCTTGGAGCCCCTGACTCCTTTCAAAACTCAGCTCAAGTTCCACGTGAGGCCTTGCCTGAATTGTTCATATTCCACCCCCGCCTTCCAGTTATTGTGTATTTATTTGGTATGTATCCTGTACAGGGTATCCTCAGAGTCTTAAGTGTACAGTTTTAAGCTATTAAAGCTTAATTTTATTTACTTATCTGTGATCATGTATGTCCTCAGTAGAATTTAAACTCCTGGAAGGTAAGGAGTGTCTCACTTTTGTATTTGTATCTCCAGTGCCTAATGTGCATTGGCATGTAGTAGATACTTAATACATGTTTTTGATTAATAAATCATCTAGTCCTACTACCTAATTTTCAGATGTGGAAACTCAGGCCTAAAGAGTTATTAGTTGCTCAACTTCACAAAATGTCATTGGTAGTTCTGGGGTTCAAATCTAGGCATCCTGATGCTCCACTAGCCAAGAGCCCCTTCTACTACATCGGGGGTGGGGAACTTGTGGCCTTGAGGCCACATGACTGAATTGTCAAAGGGCCACACTTGAGGACCTAGAGGGCCACATGTGGCCTTGCACTAATCCCATGATTCCTTTTCTTTTGATTCCACTGAGGCATGCAATTCTACTTATAAAATATTAGCCAAAATACTTTAAAAAATGTATCATCACCACACACCCACCCACACACACACACACATACATGCAAACACATGGCAGGCAGAACTTTGTTTTGTACCCTGTGATCACATCAGGGGTAGGAGAGGTGTGGGAAAAAGAGAGAAAATGAGAGAAACTGAAAGAAACCAACCTTTTCTCCTGAGCAGTTAAAATATTCCTAATTTTATCCTGTCAGACTTGAGCTTCTTCTCTGCGCACACACACATGCATACGCGCGCGTGCGCGCGCGCACACACACACACACACACACACACACACACACACACACAAAACCGTCAGAGCCAGTTAAGATCACATCGTTAGGAACGGGCAGAAACCTGATCTTTTCCAATGATATGATTTTATCTAGTTTGGCTGCTGCACTTATTATAGTAATAAGAATAAATTGGGTCTTAGAAATGGACTAGGTCTGAGCATATGACCCTTATCCTTAGACTAATTGAAGATTCCTCTGTAGTTATCAGGAGAGCGCCACTTTGTGAGCCCCAGTCCCTCTTCCAAATGTAGATTGAAACTATTTTGTACAGCAAAGTAGGAAGAGGATAGAGCGAACGAGGATTTGAACTTGGAGCTGAAGGGCCCAAGTTCCATCCTACCCTGACCCTTTGCTATGTGGCCTTGAGACAAGTCCCCAAGCCTCAGTTTACTGCTGTGGGGAGGAGAGATAACAATACATTAACTCTGCCTCTTGAGATTTTGAGGATCAAACAGGGTCAGCATTTTTAAATCCTAAAGCTTCATATAAATGTCAGTTCATATTTTTATTTCTAAATTTCCAGCTGAAGGAGAGGAGGGGGAAAAAAGAAACTCTGCTCATTACAATGAAACTTACCAAAATAATGAGCCAATTCTTCAATCCCCAACTTCGTAAAGTCATTGAATTAGTTGTTATTCAGTCAGCAGACCTGAGTTCTAATCTCTGCCCTTGGCATTAACTTGTTGCATGACCTCAGGTAAATTGCTTTACTTATTTGAGCCTCATTTTCTTCATCTGTAAAATGAGGAATTTGGATCAACTTGGCTCTAAGGTTGCCTTTCTGTGTTAACCTTTCCAGTGTGATCTAGTTTAACCCTTTCCTTTTATAGACAAAGAAAGCGAGTCTTAGGTGAAGTGATTTGTCTGTGTTCTGTATTCTGTCTTCCAACATTCTGTGTCCTAAGATTGCTTCCAGCTTTAACTAGTTTTGATTCTTTGATTCTGTTTCTAGTGTTGATGGGACTTGGGGAATGGTTGTGCATCTATTTAAATATGCATTCCCTCATTTTAATGGAGACCTACTAGGTGTCATAGTAGTGTCTGTAGCAACATTGCCATCACAATTCAGCTGAACTCTGATCTCTAAAGCTACTGACCTGTGAATGGAACATGGGACTTAAGCAGATATATTCATCTATTTCTCCTCTTCCCCCACCCCTGACTCCCTTAGATTTTGTGTTTGCTCCCATCAGCCTGGCATAAAAGGGCATTAGGCAGTACTACAGCCAGTGTGACAGGTGTACTACCCGG